CATCTGAACAGGTGAGCACCCGAGGCCATGAGATCCAATTATAAGTGATATAGGTAGGTACATGTGGAGAGCACCGAGTGGAAATCTGTTTTAAAGAGGTACATGTACGTGTACTAAAAGGAACCTTAAGGTGAAGTTCAACGTTTCAGCTAATGTATTCTGGCCATTGAGGTCACCTAAGCAGTTCTTTACAAAAACCTTAGCATGTATCTTGTCATAACAGAGATTTCTGAATAGTGCTTCCACAAATGACAAATATACCAACCATCTCTGTCTACCAAGCAAAACCTCAAGTCTTAATGTTTGGCAATACCGCTTTTGAGTATTTTCACAATACTTCTCATGCAAAAATAGGGATACCATGCAATAACATAATTACAAGTGCATAGTTATTCAACTTGTGAATAAAAGAATAAAGAAATAAAGACGGTTCTTAACAAGAATCTGTGCAGTTTTTCACAAATTCAAATGGCAGAAAAGTGACAAAGAAAATTAGGAAACAGCTAATCTAGATAAAAGTCCCATGCCTAAGTAAAATGCTAAAGTGGAACTTGAAAATAAGTTGTGTGCTAATGCAGAATACCAAACATAGGAAAACATCTTTCTTGCTGAAAATCCATTTTTTTTTTCGAAAAAAGAAAATTCTTATTGTTCAAGGTTTAAGCAAACTGGTCATTTCCTTTTTAGTACAGGGAAACAAAGATAAAGTGCAACATACATGTACCTGGCTGGAGACTTAGACCCCTCTAAAACAACAGGAGTGACTTAAAGTTAGAGCAAACTTTTACTTAGATTCAAAGAATTTTAATGCAAAAGATTTTCTTCAAATGGACTCATAACAACATAGTTTACAATTCTAGAAAATTTCCATAGCTTTACAATGGGTATTTTTTTTAGCTCTGCCTTTACTGCCCATACAAACCTGATTGAATCTGAATTTGATGGTACATGGTTGGGTTAAAAACAGGAAAGGATGAATTTCACAGTTGTTTTCTACTACATGTAGCTAATCTTAGTTTGAAGGGGGCTAACCAATTTTTGCTTGTTTCTAACATGTTTTCTAACATTATGATTTGCATAAATAATGCATGCAAACATAATAAAGGAAGCATCTGATTGGTGTAGGATGCAAAATAAGTAAAATTATATAAACAATGCAGAATGTTTAAAGAAAGTCAGCAGAGGCCCATTTAAAGATTTTGCCACCTTCTGTCAGAGAAAGTGGCTGGCTCAGCTTGAAAGGATGCCACAATAGAAGCCTTCCCATGCACTGTCTGGCTCCAGTTCTACATGTACCCATACCCACCAATCATTTTTTTTTACTACAGCTGCCTCTTGTTTCCATGTTCGTCTTACCCCATAGACAACTTTTAGCCTTACAGGAAGTCCATGTTGGCCAAAGGTACCTGAGGAACGTGGATGTAATGAACATAGAAAAGTCAAGATGTTTTCAGCCAACATCAACAGCAAAATATGTAGGGCATTCGAAAGTTTAACTTTTGTTGTGGCCCCAGTTACTGGACAAGCAGTTAAAAGCAAAGAACATTTTCCTGAAAAAAAACAATAATCTGGAAATGTACTTGTCTGGACAAAAGATCATTAAAATTGTATGGTCCAAAATATACAATCCCACCTGTTGATTTCAACAAATGGAGAAGTGTTTATGTGAACTTGGACAGGATGTGACATCTCATCTTGGCTAGAACCCAAAATTTCTTTCTTTTGAGGAAAAACTATTTAAACGACAGGTATTGTATTTATCCTGTAAAAGAAGCACAGTGTCTTCACACAAAGAAACAGCTGGCCTCTAAGAGTGATTTAAAATGCATGTAATGCAAACTGTGTCCAAACAACCAATCTGTCAATCCCCCCCTCCAAATATTTCTAAATTTAAATTCAGTAACCACTGAACCAGAATTGGATGAATGGATTTTGGGCACTAAATCAAACATTTCCATTCTCAAATGAATTTCTACAACATTGTACAGGGAAACAATTTTTCTCCAATGTGAATAAACTTTAATATACATATACTTGTGTTTTCCATGCACTGGCCTTTTAAAGAAAATATTTACATGTACAGTACATGTCATAATTGCACAAGCACTTTTAACCAATTTGATTTCTTTTAGTGTCTTACGTTTTGAACAGTGCCAAGGCCACAGCAAATTTCAGCATCTCCTCATGGTGGCACTCGTTGCGTTCATTTCTGTCATGCCAATTTCTGCTCAGCAAAACAACAAATGAAAACACTTATTACTTAAAAAGAATTACATCAGCATGTAAAGAGGACAAAAGGTGGGCTCTTGTGGCTTCAAACATGAATATCCACTGCTATCTGTTAACTGTAATTTTTATAAAACACTGTGCTTGAAAACAGATTAAGATTTAAGCTTCAGTGTTTAAGCCGTATACCATTTATCGGGTCATTGTGTGGCATTGAGTGTAGTAATCACTGCTCAACAACCACCTAATCACACTGCATTACTCACGTTGTTGCCATTAATCGCACAGTTGCAAAACAACAAACAAATAAACTAAATATGATTATTTGATCATTTGAGATACTTGCGTAAAGTGAATAAAAATCGCGTTGGTGCCATTTCAGCCATTAATTGAGTACATGTAGTTGCAAATCCATGATTAGTGGAATGAGTTGACAAAATCATCATGACTAATCAATTAATTCAGATATTCGCTCAACGTTACTCTCATGGTTGAGCCAAAATGATTGCATAAGTACCGTAGTTAGCCAGCAGGTGACGCAATCTAACCATGGAGCA